ACATAACATTCTCTAAACATGTCAGCTCACGGCCCGGCCATTGCTTATATTTTTCTGCGTTTTGGAATTTTCTGACTACATCTATAGTTCGCATGAAAATCTGTTTATTTTACATATGTAACAGGTATCGAAGCTACCTTTGATTATACATTAAACGTTGTTTTAAGTGACTAAAAAACTAATTTCCCCTGTATGGTATATTTACGCACTTGCCGTAGTGTACACTTGCTATTCTGACCAAGGCCTGTCATACAGATAAAGGTCATATCGAAGCGTTATCCGTATGTGCGTACAGGTGAGTTTTACACTAATAGCAAGAAATTCGGGTAAAACTTTCTCATATCATTTATGCAGGCTTATAAATGATATAATAAGGCGACTAATATTGGGCAACCTGCAAAGTCGGAGGGGAAGAGTTCTTCATTGTCTTCTTCGTACGGGGACATTAGAAAAAAACCAAAATGTATCTGCTTCCTGATTGAAATATTTGGTCTCATTCTCTCACATTTTTATTCTCTTGCTTAAACAATCTTTCTTTTTCGACGGTGCCCTCCTTTGTATCCGTCTGTGACCGGGTGGAATGTTGTGCTGGATGCTTCCGGCATAGTTTTTCAGTGATATAGCACTATAAAGTCGGCATCATAGCACTATAAAGTCGGCATCAGATCCGCGCTATCACAAGGAGGTAACTACACCAATATATCCCCGTCTTCAGGAAACATGCACCCATGGAGACGCGTTCTTAAACTGCCTAAGTTGTTGATAGGAAGTTAAACCCTATAAAACCAACAATTTTCGTATGCCCCTTAGCTGTTGTGTGTACGTTCAATCTAACACAACCAAATACACATTGAGAATATTTGTGTCATGAGAAATATAAAATATGTGATGAGTCGTAGCTCCTGAAAAGTTCTGCTGGTTCAGCTGATTTCTATGATCCTAACGACAAACACTTACCACGTAATAGGTTACTGTCATTGGTAAGGTTTGACTTGGGGTAACTAAATAATGTGCTTCTTTGCTGGTAATGTCCACTTGTGTGCTGGAACCTGTAATATTGCTGCATTTTCAGGCATTTAAGTACGAAAGAAGGCACACTTGCATGCTCGTTGAAAGTTGCTTATATATTCATTTTACTGTAATGAAGGTTTCGCTTTTTTCTAAAAAGCCCTTCAGCTAACAAAATATCCTTATTATACGGTAAAATCCACTGTTCACAGATAACTTTTCGTTCTGATATTTTTCCAAATTAGATTTGTATCCAATGATTTAGGGTAAATGAGTGAAAACAGCAATCTGGTTTTCAAACAGAATACCTTGGCCAAAATCCTTTCGGCTATACCAGATACTGTAATTAAATAGGTAAATCCTTTGTTCTCGGACAACCCCTTCACCCTAATATTTCATTCGTCAGATTAGATTTTATATCCAATGCTTTAACATAATTGAGTAAAAACAGAGCAATGAACGACCGCTATTAACCTATTAAGATATCTACAATATTATCAAATATGTGTATTACACTGTAAGCGGTTCTAATGGGTTGTTTTTTTTACACAGAGAACATACCGTGCCCTAAATCCTTTAGGTTTGATTATATATTGTTATTAAACGGTCACATTCTCTATTCACAGTTCATCTCCTCATCTTGATGTGCATGAATTTCTTTATTTAAATTACACTTATTTCCAACGATTTTACAAAAACATGTTTGGATGAAGATCCTTAGCTAGACAGCTAGTTTCACCTTCAAGGTATTTGTTAACCAGACCGTTAGCCTATGATTAAAATTCTAATTTTAACTTTAAAGCGATGCCTGTAAGTAGGTTTTTGTCTACAAAGAAAATCATATATCTTGCAGCAAGAATTCCGTCGAACCAAATAATTTGCAATTATAAAATACGTCTTTCAAAACGTTATTGAGTCGAGCCAAAAGTATAAGACGTCACTGGCAACGACAAATATAACAAATTTTGCAAACTGTGATTGAAAATATTGGGATCTATTTATTTCATCATACATTGCTGAAACAATATTTGAAAAATGAACCAGTTTGTACAATAGTTAATCACAGCTAAGGTCATATAATATAGGCTGGAATAAAATTAATTTGGTTTTAACGTCCTATGAACAGCTTAGGTCAGTAATGGACGTGGCTTTGTGTGTGCTGTGTATGTGTGCCGGAGACAGGGTATGTTGGTGTATTTGCCTCCTTGTGATAGCGCGGATCTGATGCCGAATTTATAGTGCTATTTCACGGAAATACCATGAAAATGGCACGCAGACTCAAATTGACAGTCTGGTCTCACTGAATGGCACAAACCAATTGAGATTAAGCATAAGGGTGTCTTTTTTAAAAGATGCATCAAACCATACCCTCTTTTTGATGTTAAAGTTAAATTATTTTTCGTTTGTTATATTATAGTATATCTTTTAACATGTTTTAACGACGACTTGTTGATCCTTATGACTTCTTCTGGTGGGAAGGCAATCGATTCCGTTCCGAAACAAGGGCCGTTTTCGTTTATCGCTATCCAAACGGTTGGACCACAGCTGTTCGTTTATGAAATAAGGTCGGGCCAGGTAATCTTATGCTGCTTTCCGGCGAGCCTCTTGACAAAGCCTTGCAAGCCCTGCATTAACATTTGCAGGTCTGCCAGGATTTATACCCGCAAATATTACATTTACAAATAGACAAACTGGTTGTTCCACATAAAAATAACAGGCCCAAGCATAAACATCATAAATTGTCCTTGGTATTCCTTAACTTTCAGCATAGACGCCTGTGGCGTCTATGAACCGGGATCTCCAATCTCGAATCGATTTATTGGTTAATTTGTTTCCTGAATCCCAACATAAAATGTAATTTGTTGCTGAAACATTTAATCCAGAGATATGTTTTGATTGTATGGGGTTTTCGTCTGTTGCTGCATTGTAAGTAAAGAAAAAATCATTGACATTCTCTATTAAATAATTTTATTCTTCTTTTTTTGTTCGGTTTTTTGACTTTTTGCAACAAATCTGCATGAAACGTTATATACTGTTGCAACATTTACTCCGACAATGATGTGTTTTGCAAACGTTATACGACAAACAAATTGATACATGTCTGTTGCATTTTAACTTATCTTTCACTGAATGTTTTCTTCCAACCTACATGAAGCTTCGTTGTGACATTTACATTGATAATGCTCTATTCTTTGATTTTTATTGAGATTTCGGACATTTCTGTTACTTCCATTAGCAAACAAAAGCCACACTGATCCGATAAATATGGAGGCTACATCATCCGTAACATTATATAAATAAATATGCAAGACCACACGCTTGTGTTTTTCTAACGAAACAGAAAGCACGAGTTTATTGCGCGGACGAATATATTCCCGAGTGCGCGGAGCGCACGAGTGAATATATACGTCCGCGCAATAAATGAGTGCTTTCTGATTCGTTAGAAAAACACAAGTGTGAGGTCTTGCTTTTATTACATAGCTTCCGCACTTGGTAGAGATCGACACAAAGATTTTATAAACTTTTCAGTTCGCCATGACAATGGGATTCCAATTAAAAGTAGTTCCGGCTAGTAAGCAAATACAACATTCCGTATTGCACATGCGCAATACAGAACGTTGTATTCCATCGTCTGAAAATTGCTTGTATTACTATAACAAGATTCAATAGGTATGTGATAAGATGTTATACTACACAAGGGACTTGACTTTTGTTGCCTGATTGTCTTGTGCATTATGCTCTCACAAAACATTTGCGTTAAACGACTCTAGGTTTGGTTTTATTCTGTTTAACGTCTTATTAGCATATTGGGTCATTAAGGATATGTAACCATGTGTTTAGTGTATGCTTTAAAGTGTGTTTGTGTGTCAATACACTAATTTTGAATGTAAGATGCAAAATGGGCATGATTCAGTAGACTAGGTATTTTGTGGCCTGTGTAGATAGTCTACCTCTAGACACGCGTCTTAATGACCTTTAATATTACGAGGAGGTTAAATGCCAAACAACCTTCATTTCAAGGTTGCAAATGACATTTAACAAACGGTGTGGACAATCAACATTCTATGATCTTCACAAATACCATAGCTTGAAGAGTAAAGGTTTTGAGTTAAATGTTGAACCGAATGTTTTTTGCAGTTGAAGCGTGATTATGGCGGACTGATTATACAAAGTAGATTACTTGTGTAGATTCGGGAAAAGATCGATTAGGATACTTAGCAGCAGTTTTTTTTTTGCCAAAACAGGAAAAATACGTTGATATGCAGGAGCCCCACGTAACTCGGCTCTTCAGACATCGGTGGGGTAACGCAGGCATATTCCAAAGTCGGCATCAGATCGGCACTATTGCAAGGAGGCATATACATCATCATGCCCTGCCTCCAGCACACATTAACACAATCATGCATGCATTTCACACATGGTGGCTTGAGCTCAGCTGTTAAAAGAACGTGAAACAAAATAATACCAAACAACGCACTGAAGAAATTAAGTACCAATTCTGCATGGTGGAGGCAAAACGCAGCCTCTCACGACATGCAGTGGGATACAGCTTGTCTATTATTTTTTCCAAACCAACCGTTGTCTTGTTTGCAGTTTAACGTCTTCGCCCGCAACAGCCAGGGTCATGTGGAGTTCAGAGAAAATAGTTAGCAAAGAAAGAAAGAAAGAACGTGGACAGAAAATTTTGGTTTGGTTTAATTTTGTTTAACGTCCTANCACCCCCCCCACCCCCCCCGATTCAGCAGGGGGTCCTTTAGTCGCTTCGAATTATCTGTTTCTTGGTTTCTTCAGTGTCCCCTTAACAGCAAACAAGGAAGGGTAGGAGGAGGTTAGTCATTAGTCGCCTCTTAAGATGTTCCTATTCACGGTGCAACAACAGAACGCATGTATGTGTTGATTCGTTCGAATCATTATTATACCGAGCAAAGCTACAAAATGGGATATTACTTAAAATTAGAAGCAGTTATGTGATGAATTGTTTTCTGTTACAGGCAAAACTGTGCCGTTCCTGGAGATGGTAGTTGCATCAGCATCAGTATTCACCATCATCGCCATCAGCGTGGAGAGGTATAAAGTCGTGTGCAAGCCTTTGTCCGTTACGGTGGAAAACGTGCTATACGTCGCCAAAGTGATTGTCGTCATATGGCTAACCGCCATCTTTATCAGTGCGCCAATTTTATCTATTGTAACATATAAAGACAGCAGTCTTCTTGATGGCACTCCGATAAAAGTCTGTCGGGTTCCTGTGAGAACCACAATTCAAAAGTCATATATTGTCATATCAACGTTTTTTATTTACGTAATTCCGTGTGCTCTACTTTTTACTCTGTATTGCCGCCTTTGTCGTAAACTTATCCCCGACTCTGAATGCCCTTTTGATATGTACGAGCGTTATGTGTCGGAAAAACTGCGTCTGCGTAAACAAGTCGTGAACATCATAGCCACTATAGTTTCTATGTTTTTCATATGTCACCTTCCGTATAGAGCTGTAAGCTTATGGCTAATATTTGAAAGCAGTAGAAATGTGGCAAGTTTAGGACTGGAGAAATATCTTGCAATAGTTTACACAGCAAGAATATTTCTATATGTTAATCATGCACTTAACCCTATCGTGTATAATTTTGTTTCAAGAAAATTCAGAAGGACGTTTAAAATGATGGTTTATTTCCGTGGAAGGCGAAATAGAAATAATTCCTCTCAAAGACGTGTTGTTGAAAGGAAATCCCGAGAGTCCAGTGGGATGTACTGTAAAGGTGAAATCAACTTGATACGGATAGAACTACAACACCGTCAGGCATCTTCATCGTCGTCATCGTCATCTAACAGACGGCGTATAAACGACTTTTGTCCTTTGTACAAAAACATCGCTAATTCCAAAGAATACGATCACTTAAAAAATCCACAAAACTGATTGGAGATTTATTTGTGGTGTTTTAATCGAGATCATAACATAAAAATTCCAGTGGACGTCATCCTGGCTTATTTATACAGTATGTAAGTGCTTTGTGTTTTAGGTCACTTGAGCTTGACCTATTGCTACCCGTCGTCGTGCGCCGCGTCGTCAGTTAGCATTTTACATTTTCAACTTAAGCTGAAATACTATTTAAGGGGTTTCATTGATACTTCATGGTAATGTTATTGACATCTCCCTGACCAAGTGTTGTTATTTTTTGGGGCAATCAGAAATCCAATATGGCCGCCAAGGCCGTAATTTGAAAATTATTATCTCTAACTTGAAGTCCAGTTCCACTTGGTCGATTGAATTGAAACTTGTTAAGAATTATCGATTCATGGTCCTGGCAAAGTATTCTTCTTCTTTTTTGAAAAAAACCCAACAATTTCCAACTTAAAATCAAGTTCTACTGGGCCGATTTAACTGAAGCTCATAGTCCTGACAAACTTAACTTTACGTTATATACTTAACTATTTTACTCAATTTGGTAGGGATGATTGACATCATTATCTCCACTTCATATTTCAACAACAAAATAAATACTGTAGGACCCAGTTGGACGTTTAGGCTCATGGGCCTCTTGTTTCGAAAGGATATCGTGATTTCAAAAGAATATCCGATACAATCACACAAAGTTTCCAGTGGACGTCAATAGACTTATTTATATAAAATGTAAGTGCTTTGTTTTCTTTTTCAAGGATATCGTGATTTCCAAAGAATTCATTGGTATATCCAATCAACAAGTGCTTGGGTTTATGTTGATTACGTATTTATTATATATGAAAATGTTTTATTAATTATTTAATTGTTTTGTAATTATTGTTATAAACATATTGCATTTTTTTACGTGGACGCACGGAAAGAGAAGTTTCTTCTATGATTGCTCAATTATATTAAATATTTAACATGCTGAAAGTGTGATACACAATGTGACTGCCTTTTATTATTATTTGATCAAGTCAAAGTGAATATTTTTGAAGTATATCACATATACAACGAAATTTTTCAATATGCCTGCCTTTCCATGTGCCATTAAAAACCATCGACGCCTGTTATTAGAAAATTGTTCTTAATTTTTCTCGTTAAAAAATTGCCGCATGCAAAAAAATGACATTGAAGACTGAGGTTTAAGGTCCTAAATGCTTAAACCAATTCAGTGAGAAACGTTGGACATCCATTAAATAGAAATGTATTTATAAAACATATGAATACGGCAAAGCTTCATGCATAAGCGTACGTATTGTTTATGATACTGTATTATGTTTCCTACATTTTACTCATAAAATGATTATAACATTCGAAAATATAAATATTTTGTCACTTCTATTAAACAGAACTGAATAAAACTGACCTGATGCCAGCTTTACAATGCTATCTCACTGAAAGCCCATGCCGAAGGCACCTAACACAGAATTCCACCCGGTCACATAATACTGACAACCGTAAATCATTTATTTCGATAAAAAATAAATGCCGAAAGTTAAACAGGGAACTACAACTACCATTTATGTTAGCAATGTATTCTTTCCCTATTCCAGGACATATCAAAGTCCTAGATAATGGTAGTTGTTATACCCTGCTAAACGTTTAGCAATTAAGAAAATAACAACAACCGCTTCATCCGTTTTCAGTATAATGTGACCAGGCGGAATGCTGGGTTCCTTCGGCATGGTATTTCAGTGAGATGGCACTATAAAGTCGGCATCAGATCCAGGCGATAATAAGGAGGTAAATACATCAACATATCCTGTCTCCGGCACACATGCACGCTTACACAACACACATGAAGGCACGTCCTTAAACGACCTTAGCTGCTATAGGAAGTTAAGCTATATAAAACCAAACCAAACTAAATAAGTCATTGTTAACACTTCATGAAATTAACTTGTCCAGCTCTGGGTTAATATTGCATTCTTGTTTGTTAAGCATATTCAATACTTTGTTTGTATTTTATCGTCCCCACAACATCTAACCTCAAGTAATATTAAAACTTGTGCCCCGGGAGACAACAAAAGCCCAATAAACCATACGCAATACTATGCTGGGTGTCTTCTGCATAGTATTTAGTTAAGCTTCTGCATAGTTAAGTTTACGACAATACGTTGCAAACGCTCTAACAAAACAGACAACTTGTAACTTAGGATTGTATTTAAGAAATTTCTTAGTTGACTTTTTTCTTTTGGTTAACTTAAGAAGCCATGTAAAACTCGGACCTGTTGTACCTTTCACAAGTGATTCAGTTTGCCCTGTAAATATAACTATCGTGTGCCCGGTTTTCACCACCTCTTAAAACAATTAATGTAAGTTTAAAAAAAAGTTTCTCTTTATCAGTATAAACGCAAAGGTGGAATGTCTATGATATGTGTCGTACAGAATACATACTACATAAAACAGCTTGGAATCTCCCATCAGTGTCAAAACCTTACTGTTCAGAAATATAGGAATAACTCATCTTTATATATAAAAGAATTAACAAGCTCATTACATACTGTTCAACAGAAAACAAAATCTGCTTGTTAACAATCACTATTCTATTTTAGACTTTAACTGCAAAAACAACACAAATGCCGATAAGGAATTTTCAAAAAATATGTGTTCGGGGATACACATTCCTTCGGCTATTGCGAGGAATTAATCTCAATCAAGCAAATCATCCTTTTAATGGGTTCGTTAACTAATAAGCCTGTCTGAAATCCAACTTAAATGTGTCTAATCCATGGCTTCGTTGTACGTTAATGAACGAAGCCATCTAACAATTGACTTTAATCAGACCGCCAGTGGCCGTAAATAACAGAGCAGCACAACACTTAGGCCAAAAGTGATGTATTGCCAAGCAAGAACAAAAAATAACAATTGATTGCAATGAATGAAGCAGATTTATTTTGATCGCTTTCTAATCGCTGCAAGGGTGTCATAAATACAATGTTCCATCAATAAAACATATCTAAGCAAGATATCTAGCGGAATCTTAGTTCTGACAGATCTCTATATCAATTTTCAGGTAATACTTGATGGAAAAAGCTCAGACAATTCCGGTGATATCACTGCGTGGACTGATTTGATACTTTAGCGCAAGTTATCGAACATGCACCCACACATCACTTGACGCTTAATATAGATTGTTGGCGTTAGGTTTCGATGAGCTGACGGGGAAATTCCAACATCAATCAAAACCTCTATCCTGGCTGAGTTCCAATAGATATCATCAATAAAGAAAGTTGATAGGTTGTATATGTTAATGGTATAGCAGACTATAAAAGACGTAATAATGTAAAAAGCTAAACCAAAGAGCAAAGAACCAGAAAAGCACTTTTTGATGACACGTGGGACAATTGGGGTAAATGTGGAAAATAACAGATTTTTAAATCTTTGACAGATGGTTCGAAAAGGGCACTTAATGATCTAACTATCCGATTTGTTGTTACTGGCGTGTTCTCAATTAAATATAAATGGACGGTATGAGTCCCTTTGTCAATTTTGTTCAAATGATTTTCCTTTAACCAGTATAGCCGCATGGCCTTTCAGTGAGATATCACTATAAAGTCGGCATCAGATCCGCACTATCACACGGCGGCAATTACACCACCGTACCCTGGCTCCAGTAATCATACACATACAACACATGCACGCACACACACCACATATGGAGACACAATGTGTATGTATACATGTATATATGAATACTCCTTTAACATGGCTCCTGCTCTGGATTATCAATGACTAGGTAAACACACAGTGGTGGTGTTTGGACATTTTAGTGCTGCCCAGTTATAATTGTTATCTGGAGTAGTAGAGGTGATGGAGGGTTAGTTGGTGTTACAAAATATTTACTGTATTGAATGGAGGTTCCAGTTTTTGATATTAATATATGTTGTAAAATTAATAAAATTTGATTATTTACAAATGCAGTATACACACATGGATTTCCATTTTGATTTTTTTTTTTTTTATATACTGGTTACTATGTAAAGAAAAAATAACTACTATGTTTGTTTTACCTCGGCAATTTTTAATTTTGCTAAGTTCAGAGATAGATAGAGACTATTAGGTACTATTTAATGTTCCAAGCCAGTGCTAATATGTGAATGTCTAAATTATAATTCTGTTATTGTTTGAAATGTATGTCACCCAAGGGAGAAGGCTTCTTTCTAAATAACTTTCTTCTTCCTAATGTCTCCCTTGACAATGCCTCACTTTTGGCCATTTGTTTAGCGTTCGCCCCTGTGAGGAAGACTTTGGGTTCTGTCCCCTGGCCGAGACATAACAAAGTGGTTCGCCCGTGGTCAGTATAATGTGACCGGGTGAGGCGTCCTGCTGGGTGTCTTCGGCAGTATGTTTCAGTGAGGTAGCACTATAAAGTCGGTATCAGTTCCGCGCTATCACAAGGAGACAAACTCGAACATATCGCAGCCTCCAAAAATACACACATTCACTACACTCATGCATCTTGCACACAGGGGAGGCCGTCCTTAAATGACCTTAGCTGTTAATAGGATGTTTAACAAAATCAAACAAACAAACAAAAGCTTGTATAGGCATAGTCTGTTGCCAAATTCCCATTAAATCATTTGATTTAATGAAATATTTTGAAATGAAAAATATGGAGACAAGTCCTTTAAATACCTTGGGTGTTAATAGTGAGTTAAACCGAATAAAAACAAACTTAGATCGGAGATTTCCTACAGACTTGAAAAAAGTCTACAAAAACGTGTCCTATTGATGTCATAATTCCTTCATTTACAGCAATATTACATGGGGGAAAAGAGCAAGAGGACCTGCCTGTATTTGAAAGGAAACACAAAAATCTCATAGTTCAGAGCACTGCTCGTGTACCACTGAAAACATGTACCACGTGGTAGCTGTGCAAAAGTATGGTAATTACATAACGTTGTAAACCCGCACGCCGGAGATTGCGGTTATCACTCACCAGAGGAAACCTTAGCATGAGTCCCTGCAGGTAGGGCGTAAGAATTGTACCTGCTGTCCCCATTACATGATCGTAAGAGGCGATTCAATAATTTGGGATCTTATCTTTTCTCTTCTTTCTAAACAACTTTCTTCTTCCTAATATCTCCCTTGACAATGCTTCACACTTGGCCTTTAGTTGAGCGTTCGCCCCTTTAAGGAAGGCTGTGGGTTCTGTCCCCTGGCCGAGACAAACCAGAGTCTGTACAAATGGTAT